GTGGTAGCGCACGCCTGTAGTTCTAGCTACTTGGAAGGCTGAGGCGGAAGGATCGCTGGAGCCCAGCAGGTCGAGGCTGCGGTGGCTGGGAGCAGCCACTGCACTCCAGTCTGGGCGACAGAGTGAGACTCCAACTCAAAACAAAACAAAACAAAAACAACAAACAAACAAAAAAATAACTACTAGTTGGGTGTGGTGGTACATGCCTGTAGTTCTAGCTACTTGGAAAGCCGAGGTGGAAGGACCACCTGAACCCAGCAGTTAGAGACCGCGGTAGCCTGAGTGTGCCACTGAGCCCAGCTTGGGTAGCAGTGTGAGACTCTGACCATAAAAAAAAAGAAAAGCATTTCTGGTTTTATTGGGCTATTTTGAATCTTAGTACTAAGAGCATCTTATATCTCTTAATTTGTTTAATAAGTGACTTTTTATAACCTAAATATTTTTCTTATACTGGTAAGTGACACCACTAGTTGAGACACACAAGTGAACCTGGAGCTACCAAGCATAAATCCTTATAAAGATGCATACAGGCCGGACTCGGTGGCTCAGCCTGTAATCCCGCTCCTTAGGAGGCTGAGGTGAGTGGATTGCCTGAGCCCGCGGGTTCGAGACCCACTTGGGCAACTTGGTGACACCTCATCTCTACAATAAATCAAAAAAATTAGGTGTGGTAGTGCGCGCCTGTAGTTCCAGTTACTTGGAAGACTGAGTTGGAAGGATCGCCGGAGCCCAGCAGGTCGAGGCTGCAGTGGCCGGGAGCGGCCACTGCACTCCAGTCTGGGCAACAGAGTGAGACTGGAACTCCAAAAAAAAAAAAAAAAAAAAAGCATACAGGCCTTTTGCATGTAGAAATGCATCTTGATAGAAATCCATCTTGTTCATCTAGGATATGCTTTTACAAGGAGTGATTCACTGAAAGATCTTGTTATTCACGGGAAGTTGGGAGACAGCTTTGGCCCTGTAAAAACCTCATAGGAACATGTAGGCAAAAACGATGGATTGAACACATAGGATCTACTTTCACCTCATCTGAAACAACACTAAAAGAGTCGTAAAGAATTTTTTAAAGGTACAAATCTGCTTAAGGATAGAGAAAACAGATGAGATGGCAACAACAACATGTTGGGAACTGGAAAGCAGACGTGCAATTCTTAAATGATGTAGGAGTGCCAATAAAGCAGAATCCTGAGCCAGTAGAGGGAGATGCTGAGAATTAGAGCTATATATACTGGGGAATTCCCAAAAAGCTCTAGAATTTGCCTTCTACAAGTGGAGGAGGGACACCTATAAAAATAAGGAAGGTTGATCAAAAGCCTGTTTTAAGAAGCCATATATTCCTATATGTTCTCCCCTTTCCAACATAGACCAAAGATTTATTCTCTGAAGAGAGCATGATTGGGGGTCTCTGGACTAGGGGATTTGAGGTACAGTCGGGGGCAGGATACTGTACTGAAAAGAGGGAGATTAAGTGAATGTGAGCATACTGACTGCCTGTTTTCCCCATTTATTTCTGCAGAATGCAGATAGCTGTGTCTGCCTTTCAGGCAAAAGATTGAAAGAGTATGCCCTAGAAAACTTGATTAGCTCAAAAGAAAATGTCTAAGAATACTGACAACAGAGTTTCCTCAATCAAATGGCCCAACCAGCTCAGTACAGTCCATAGTTGACAAGTCCTACCCATGTTATCATAGTGCCAATGAACTGTGCAGTCCCCCACTTTTAGATATAAGCAGACAATCAAGTGTTATCAGACTTCTGAGGAAAGCCTTTAATAAGAAAGAGACCAAAGCAAAGAAACAATAACAGCAATTTCTTTATTTTGTTTGTTTGTTTGTTTGTTTTTTGAGTTGGAGTCTCACTCTGTCGCCCAGACTGGAGTGCAGTGGCTGCTCCCG